CCCCAAAACCCCAAAACCCCAAAACCCCAAAACCCCTTTTATAAATTATAAAATTGAATTTACTTCATTGTGAATTTATGAGACTGGGAGCCTCTAAAACTCTTCTCTGATTTCTTCTGCATGTCAAAGTACTCCTCATCTGGGACCTTCTGGTTGTACAAGAGTAAGTTCTGGGATTTCACATGTGTAGCTCCTGGCCTCTGTGCTTCTCTGGTCTGGATTTTACCTATAGATCACAAGGACTGGCTACCTTTCATTTTCTGGCTTCCTTCTATAGAATATAAACAAAAGTAAAAATTTCACTTACTTCTAATATCAATTTCTTGTGGCTTCATCATTGCGTAGGAGGTCAATAGTTTACCCATGACTGTCTCGAGGTGAATATTTTCCTTCCTCCAACTCCGAATAGGCTTCTCGACAATCCTCTTCTTCTTCGGAGGCAGGTCTTTCTTCTTAAATTTCTTATTCTCATCTTCAAATGTTGGCTTCTTTAGGCCCTTTTTGAACAGAGTGAAGTACTGCATCTGGCCTTTCTCGTCAGACTGGATTAACAAGCTACTCATCTTTGACTCTTTGTGGTTTCTTTCTGAGATATCTAATTGTTAATAATCCCCTTACCAGCTGAAGGCTCTGATTCTAGAGCTTTCTCCTGTCGAGTCATTGGTCTCATTTGCTCACGGTTCCTAAAGTTGCCCAAACCTTGTGTAAAATTGGCATCTGTCATTGATGTCTTTGCTTGCATGGTGCGAGGCTTATCCTTCTTGATGATATTTTCATAAAGCTCCTCAGGATTTACCTTGCTGATCAATGTATTAGTTTGCTTGATATCAAGATTTTTCTTCTCTCTAACAGATTGGTTTCTATATGAGCCGATGCCAGGAGTCTCTGGCTTGTCTGAATTCATGAAGAAGTGGATCTTCTCTCGGTTGCCCATCCTAGCAGTGTGAGCATCTCTTTTCATAGTTTTAATTCTGATATTTCTCTCCCTTTCTTCATCGTTAGGGCAAAATAGCTTGGAAAACCTGCGTTTATTGATATCAGCAACCCTTCCAAGTTGCTTGTTCTTGGAAATGTAGTTGATGGGACCAGTCCCAGACCTCTTCAACTTCTTGGGTTTCTTCTGGTCGCTCGAGTGTACTTCAACCGCAGTTTTACTGAAAATGTCAGTTTTTGCTATATTTTTAAGTAAAACTGTACCATCCCGCTTCTCGTCCTTCAGGGAGGAGAGATTGATTGTCTGCCTGGATCTCTGAGTCCCAGGCTGGATTTTCTCAGTAGGAATCCTTGGAATAGGCACAGGTTGCCCTGTAGTCACGACTCCAATCTGGCTATTTTTCTTTGAGCTTGAATCTCTTTTGGTTTTTGACCCTCTCCGGTTACTTTCTTTCTTGATAATAATGTCTGTACGTCTTTTGACCATTTTATTTTCAACCTTGTAGTACCTGAAGCGTGAGATATCCTGTTTGAGGTCATCTGAAAGCTTGGAGTTCTTCTCCTCAAGGGTTTTGAGGATTCCAGTGACTTCAGCAGTTGTCTTTTGATCGTCGTAATTGTTAATGCGGCTCTTAGAAGACCCTTGGTCCTTCTTAATCTGAGATATACTCATGCTCATTATGTTTTCTATAGGGGGTGAGATGTTAGTAAGGAATAGTGAAGAAAAGAGCCTTACTTGCATTCCCAGTCCCTTCAAAGTTAATTGAACTAGGTAAATAAATTCATGGATCTTTCTGAATAATAGTAGCCTTGGATCCAACCCTGATATCTCTTTTGTCGATAAAGTCAAAATCTTTAATGATTTTCTTATTCAGGTTCAGGCCTGGACCTTTCTTAGTTTTCATAATATGACTCACCCGATCTTCAGCATTGCAAATTAGATAAAGGAATTCGTGAGGAAGGAGATATTTAGCCTCTGAGCTATCTAAACACCTTGATTCATTTTCAGCAAAGTCAATACGACTGGAGTCAGAGCAATTAGGGTCATAGAGTTGCTCTATGACTGTTTTTTTCCTTGAGCTCATTCAATCAAGAGTGTCATAGCACATCTCCGTCCAATTTTCGATAAATTTCTTATCTGGAATGACCTTGTTCATCAGTCTAAGGGCATTATTGACTTTGACATGGTTGAGTTCGACTCTTTGCCCACAGTATGTTTCCTTGCCGGCAAGACTGAAAGAGCGAATTCCTTGAGATATATCCTTATAATTAAGCAGCTGCTTCTTAAGCAACACCAAAGCTGTGCTGATTATCTTAATATTCAAATGAGTTTCTCTCGAATTAGTAAAGGAAGGCACATCTCTCAAAAATCCGATGCTGTTAATGGTTTGAAAGACTGGTCTTAAGGAAAACTCTGTATTGTTTAAATCAACTTTGGCTTACCTCGTTTCTTCCTATAATCAGGAAGGTATTTCTTCAGATGTATCAAGAAGTGGTCGTAATACAAGCCTATGACAAATGGAATCACATGGATTTATAAAGCGTGGTTACCTAACTACTGCAACTCTTTGAACAGTCGGACGATCTCCTCGAGTGTAATGACCTGGTTGTATACATCAGACTCATCAATAATGCCTATTACGAATGGGTTATCCTTCATAATAATTTAAATAGATTTTATTTTGACAAAATGGGGTTTTGGGGTTTTGGGGTTTTGGGGG